ATATATATATATACACACATATATAAAAAGGAAGATGGCCACAAACATCCTGTTTAAAGCACCACTTTTACATGGAATAGTGTATATGTATAGATTTTAAAATGGATAAAGGAAACAGTATTTTAAAACTGATTTAGATTACTTCTTATCAAACAGTCTTTGCTTGGAAAGTCAGGTTAAAGTGTAGGTTCACAGGTACTACGATTTCCTAGAATTTAATTTCTTTATAGTAAGTATTTCAAATGGGGTCTCTTCATACTGTGTTTGAATGATGTCCAAGACCTTCATCTGACAGTTGCTGGTGAGTTCTTAAACTAGACACTGTGGCTCTTCCTACCTCTGCTTTAATAATTAAACCATTTTTTGTGGGAGTAGCTTTGTGGTTCCTTGAAGAACCTTTGCAACAGCAACAACTGAACTGTTTTTAGGATGAGTAAACATTTTGCTATGATGAGGACATGAGAAATAACTTCAGTTAATTGGGTGAATACCTAGCAAGTGTCTAGAAACTACCCATCTGTCTATTTGTGTGTTAAGGTGATGGTCAAGCAAAAGTCTTTATAGGAAATGGAGTAAAGTTTATTTGTGTAAAGCATTGTTAAAAAACAAAAACAAAAACACAAAAAAAACTGCACCAAAAACAAACAAAAAAAACCCTTCAACCAACAACTATATCTGTACGTGATCTTCTATTGCCTTTATTGATAATAGATTTCAAGGCTTTTATCATTTAACTGAAGTTGTCTGGAAGCTTTATAAATTGGACACTAAACCAAAAAATGTTATGTATGTGTTCATTGTTCTTGTATTGCAGGCAACTTGCTTAATATAGAACTTCGATGTATTTTCATAAAGTACAAATCACTCTTTTTCCCTCTGATACTAACTGGAAGGTTACCCTGTTCTAGTGAATGTTAAAAGGTTACCATAATGTGAAAGCTCTGCTTAAAAGAAATAGTTCTGATTTATATTTGAATCTGCTGTTATAGCTACAATGAAAAGTGACAGTTCTTGCAAGCTTGTTGAATTTTATCTAACTAGGTTTTTTTTATATATATTTCTTTTTTTATTTGCACCACCAGTGTTGGAAATAGCTTTTCTAGCATCTAACTTGATTTATCACCAAAACTTATATGTTGAATAGGAGACTCTAGAAGAAGTTACTGATGTGGGTATAGTTTTACTTGTAGTTACAACAGTCAAAATCTCCTGAATACATTTACTATGTTAATCTAAATTAAAAATTACTCATAGGTCTATGTACATACTAATGTGCATGTTAAATTGCAAGAGTTCAACTTAAAATCAGCCTTGGAAGATAAACCAGTTAAAATTCTGTAACTTTTTTCTTTTTAGTTCTCATAAAAACTGTATTTCAATTAAGCTTGCTTCCAACAGCCTTCTCAGAACTGTAAAGTATGGCACTGGAGTGTCTTTTTGAGTGCACTTCTTTCATCGGATGACAATTTCTCAAAGAAAGAAATTATTAATGATCTTCTACTGACTGAAGTCTCAGTGTGAATGATACAATTTTAGACTGTTCAAGAAGGTGAATTACTTGATGTCTTTTTAAACCAATGTGCAAGATGGTAAATTTTATTTCAGAGTGTTAACAATACCATTTAATTCTGTCCTTCTGTTACAAACTTTCCCCTTGATCTTCCATACTTCTGCTTGGTGCTTGAAACTTGCTGTCTCTTTTCATTTTGCCTTTCAAACTAGTGGCCAGCAGAAGGAAGAGTAGCAGCGGCTCCCTGCCCCCTATGTCTCTGTTCAGACAGAGGGAGGGAAGGATGTTCCTGGTCTATTCTGGCAGCTTCTTCCTCATCAGCCCCTGTGAATCTATTATGTGACCAACTGCAGGTGTTCCAAACCTGTTAATGTATGGTCTTGTCTTGCATCTGGCTTCATGGCCAGGGATATGTGTTTCTGTCACATGACATAGACCTACTGTATAATAAAGCATTTATATAGTTGGTAATTTTTCTGGTATAGCACTATGCCTCTGCCAAATTTTAACAGAGAAAAAGTTAAATGAGGAGCTATATCTGTCTACTGAATAGAGAGAGAAAGGAGCTGTTTAAGTCCTTAGAATAATTGGGTAATTCTACAATACGTTTGAATGGGTTTAGTATTTGAATTGATCATAGACTTCAAAATTATTTGAATTGCAGCAGCTTCACTTAAGATTTACCGTTATGCTGTGGTATGCTCTTCAGAGTGAGGGAGAGCTGTCTGCATAAGAACAGCCAGAACTGCACTGAATGAAAATGGGAGCACGAAGTCAGGCAGTTTTATAAATACTTCTGAGTGCTTTTGTATTTATTTTATTGATTTAGAACATTTTGTATTCAATGACCACAGCATGTCATCTTGACTACTTGAAGACATGGTTGTGCCTGTAAATATCATCTTGTTATTGCCAGATGCTTTTTGCCCAAAGCAGGTGTTAGATGCTTTTAGATGGAATAATTTGTGAAGCCATTTTCCCTAAACGACAGTAGTACTTGATGCTAGGTGCTGGGCACAATTCTGGGAATATTGCATCTCAACCTGTTGTGTGGCTATTTACAGGAAATTTACAAGACCTTTGAAGTTTTGATGAGTTACTGTTTTCTGTGTGCCCTTTTTGATGTCAGCAGCACTTCAGTCTCTCCTGGCCTCAAGATGAGACAGTTACTTTCTTTCTGGATTTCAGTGTTTTGGCTATTCCTTTTGGCTGTGCCTCTTGCTGTCCCTGGCAGCACTTTAGAGACTATAAATAATGAGCTGTTGGTTTTCATAGGTGAAGTTGTCATCATTGCCTATTCAAGTGTTTCCAGTTCAGTTTGACATTGGATTAATTAAAAGTTTCTTCTGAATGGAAGACAGCAGACAGAATATTGAGCTGTCACAGCAGAAGAGCACACTTCAGAGTTCAGCTCTTCAGAAGCATGAAACCAATCCTTTTTATAAATTTTAATCAATTTTTGGTACCATGTATCACACATTCTTGTGGCAGTCATCTTCAATATCTATCAAGCAGTCCTAAATGGTAATTTAATTAAGCCATCTTTCCTCTTGTGCAGTATTTTCTCTTGTTCAGAATTTTAACTCTTTGGACTGCAAACATCTTGTTAATATGTCTAGCTACTTATTAGTCACTTTTTCAATTTCTCTTGTTATATTATATGGTTGTAATCTCAATTTAGGATTATGAGGCTTTCAGTGCATTGCTTTGGCTTGGGTAGTGGTATCTAGCAAAACTGAAGACCCTGTAAACAGGAGTTTACTGTGTTAGGCAGAATGTTTAAGCAGCTGTTCAGATTTACTTTACCCAAATCTCTTAGTTTGAACAGAACAAAAATTGTTCAGCATCATGAAAATTTGTACAACTCTGAAGGAATGTTTGTGCAAGGAACTGTACTTGCTGAAAGCTTAGAGAACGCTGAAATAACTGCAACAATGTGCAGTTGTAATGTGACAGCTCCTACACTTGTTCAGTTTGCAAAATGTAGTGAATGGAAATGTTATTGTTTTAGTAAGGAGGCTTAAAAACTTAGAATACTGTTTGGAAGTAACCTGTGAGTATGGTTTTCTTCATCTCTGTTCTCATATTTTTGGTTTGTGTTTGCATTAATATACTGGTTTTGCTTTAACTTTTCATATAAGGAAGTATTTTATTCTGTAAGATAAACTCAGTGCTGGATTTGATGTAATAAACATTACTGTGAAGTTACTTTCTCATAATGTAAGAAAGAATTACATTTATTTATATATGTAAGCAACATCTAAAAATGCTATTTAAAAGCCAAAGTACAGGGAGATAGTATGGTACAGAGTAATCTTCAAAGTCCAGTTTTCAGAAAGATCTTTAAAATAAAAGTAGCACCATATAAAATAATATGCTTGACTTGAATGAGTGTGTTTTGTCTGCTGCTAAGTATTTACTTGGAAAAGATGAAACCAGAGGTTACTTTGCGCTTTCCATGAGATGTGTGAGCAGCTCTTCTAAGAATAAACTGAATGCAGTTCATGATTTTGGTTTATAACGATTCCTCTCATTTCAGAAGTTGGGGAACAGACTGGTGAGGTAGGTTACTCCAGCTCTCCAGCGGAAGCACCTCCAAGCAAGTCTCCATCAATGCCATCCCTAAACCAGACCTGGCCAGAACTGAATCAGAGCAGTGAGGTTAGCACTTTTATTTAAGAGCTGTTTAATTGTCAGTCTAATTGTGTATGCATCTGTAATTCATCATAAGTAGATTTCTGATCACAAATTGTGAAAAAGTGAGCAGGACAATAGACACAGGAAGGTTCTACATGTAATAAAGTTAGTGTTTTCCTTCTAATTTTTCTGTTTCATTGTGAGATGAGCTACTGTTTAAAATGTTGTCATTAATGGTAATGAAGCTTTATATTAATGGCAGAATGATCTCATAACACTTATTGGATAAGTTGAATTCATTCCCAGTTTTTTTATTTCAGGTGAGTTTTTGGGGGTTTTGAGTGTTTTTGTTACCTTTGAAGAGCTTTTGTAGTCAACACTTTTGCAAAACTTAAAAATAAATTTCTGATGGAACTGGACATTGACACTTTATTTCTGCAGGTGGTTTTACCCTGAAATATAAATTATCCCACCGGTAATGTAGATGAATCATAGCGCTCTGGGTTTGTGTCAGAAGCAAAGAATCAAAGTTGAATCTGTTGACTAAATTTATTTAAATATTAAATTTATACTGTTATGTACTGCTGCTTTATCATCCTTTACCATACATATTTGTTATATAAGCAGTCTTATAAAGTAAAGCTCTATTTTGTCAGAATTTGAATTTGAAACTGAAGTTACCAAACAGGATTTTTTGTTTAGTGGTTTCTCCTTCCCCCCCGCCCCCACCCCAGCAAATGTCCATTGTTAAAGCCTGTAAGGGATTGATTCCTTTGAATTGAAAGATGGTGTAGGCTTATGGGGGTTAAGGGGAAACTACTGGAATTGTGTTTTGAAAACTTTAAAAATTTAAGACTCTCAAGAAGAAACTAAAAATAACATCTGAGATAGTTCTGTCAGTAGCAGAGTATTATCCTACCCTGCTCCTCTTATTGAAAAAGCTTTTTGTGGCTGCTTTCTTCAGACTTCAAGTGAATGGAAGATTGGTAGCCAAAGTTTTAGACAAACCAAAGGACATTCAGTATGAAACAGTAAATAAGCAAATTTTTAGGATTAAAGTTAGGAGCAAAGAAAACTTTATTCTTCTCAGGAGGAAGGTCTTTGTAAAGTCTGCTGTTCCTCTTAAGGGTAAATGCTAGCCTCACAGTGATCTCCTTACCAAATACAAAATGTAGGAAATGATTTAGGGGTTCTTAGTTGTTCTGTTTGACAGAATGACTCTTAGACTGCCTGTAGGAAGCTAAGCTTTAGGAGGGAGATGAGCAGATACTCGATGTTGCTAAAAAGCTGTAAATGTCTGCAACTGTATTAAAATTTGCATTGATACACTCCATCATGTTTGCAATAAAGTTTTAATAAACTAATAATTTGGTAATCTGCATTGTAATTGAAAAGATTCTTTCATTGTCCTGTTCAACTCAAACCAGTCGACTAGGGTAATTGCACTGCTGGAACAAATTTAATGACAATTCTGTCAGCCAAAATCTTGTCTTACAAACTGACTTTGTCCATTCAGATAGATAATACGGTGTTTTCTTTGTGAAAATCTACTAAAACTTTAAGAGGCTTGGAAAAGTTCTCTTACTAAATATACTACCAAATACTAACTATACTAAAATAAGAGTTGAACACTTATTATGGTACTATGTTACACTTATTGTGTTAAGAGCTTTCTGTTTTAACACAAAGGAATTTCTGATTTTTCAGCTATACTGCTGTGCATGCTTCTTGCTTCTCTGTATTTTCTTTTCAGCATGAGTCAGGTCAAAGTCCATGAGGTTTTAATGCCATGAAAAAATTCCTGGTATTACTGCAGGCACCAGTCTAATTGCTTCCTCTTTCAACCTCTTATAACTGTCATCAACAAATTAATTACTTGAAAAAGCCATGTATCTTTGGATCATCTGCCTTTCCAGGCAATTTCATCTCCATGAGTTTCAAAACTGTTGGTTACTTGGTGCTTTTTAGCTCATACTTCATTTTTAGACTCCAGTTGTCAGGCTTAGTTACTGTAAGGTCACAAGTGTGGACCACGGCATCAATCTCAAACTCAGAATAAAGAGCACCATGAAAATCAACCTAACTCTGGATACTACACCATTCACATTCTCATCTCATCACTTGCCACTACTTTCTCAATTCAGGCATCTTTTCCATTCAGTCTCAAGGCTGAGCAATTAGTTCTGGGAGCTTTAAAAAACAAATAAATAATAAAATCCTACTGAATTTTTGTTGACAACATTCTGGTGTCATATGGTCATACTAGCTTTGACACAGATTCGGAGATTTGCTTTTGAGTTCGTACCTTTTACACCTTGTTTCAACTGTCTTGGTGTTCTTTTAGTTATGGTTCGGGTTGCTGTGAGTTTAAGTTTCTAGTAACCTTTTGAAAGTATTTTTGCAACATGTTTGCCAGTCTAGAAGACAAATGTTTTACTTCAGCTAGTGGGAATTTAGACAAAGCAAATCAGTTGTCAATGGTCTTAAATCTTGCATAGAATTTGAGATTAAGTCTAGTAGATTCTTAATATATGTATCTTCCTATTAACCAGGGAATTAGCAGTAACTAGCTTCTGGTAATATTTCAGGGTGGGGCACGATAGCATATTCCCAAAAGCAGTCAGGAGGTGCTGGTGTTCATTTGTCTGTGCTCAGCTAGGGAGCCTGAGAACAAGTAATAAATGTACCTGCAGTTTGGCTTCAGAAGAGTAGAATAAGAGCTAAATTCAGCATCCATCTCTAAGAGATAATATTTTATTCTTGATCTTAACTATAACATAGATGCTGTATACCTGTATGGAAGTTTTAAAAAATTAAGAAACAATATTTCTGTAATCAAATGGTCTGTTTGCCAGTCTTACCACTAACTTTGAAACCACTGGCCAAACAGAGTTTCAAAGGATAGTACTAAGATAAATACTAACGCATGTTTCATGAAAATGAGCAGCTGTGTAGATGCAAGAGGAAAACCAGGGGAAAGGCTGGCACAACCTTGCTGTTAAGTTTCTGTCTTAGTAAAAACTGGCTCACTCAACAGGTTTTTACAGCTCCAGACTACTTGCAGTGTTGCCTTTCAATACAGATAGCATGACAGAGCAGTTGGGAAGGAAACCTTACATCCTTGCTAAAAAGGTTTCATTAGATTTTGTCTGTGAAGGGGGTATTTTTGTGAGTTAAAACAAAAATTCCATTTAGAAAAAAAAACCCAAACAAAAAACAGAAAAAAAACAACAAACCCAAGCTGGGAAAAAAGCCAATCCCCCCCCCCCCAAATATATGCATAGTATCCCATAATCTTTGACTTAATTTAAAGTATAAAATGGGAAGATAAAGCTCTGTCTCTACAAGGAGCAGCATCACTCATGAAAACACTTACACATTTAGTTAAATCTTTTTTTCTGAATTTAATTTCAGCTGATTAAAAGCAGTTATTTAGGAACTTCTATGAAGAGTTATTTCTGAAATAACTGGTTTAGACTAGGTTCACATACAGGCCAGTCACTAAATATATTTTGGTGTACAGGAGCTCATGAGATTAGGTTGACTAACTCCATATAGTTTGTCCTGTATCTTCTGAAATCATTTACATTGATTTGCCTATAGACATGAGACAGAAATATTGGGTTGTTCTCACAACTAGATTAACATAATCTTTTGTCATTTTCTGAGCATTGAAAGTTTTGAATTTGCGATTTTTGTTGTGATGTTTGAGACTTGGTTGATATTTACCAACATATAACAAGTTTAGCATTCCTATTGTGATTTGTAATCTGGCTTCTGGATCACAGACTAATTTTATGTACTTTGATACTTTGTTGATCCAGTTGCTGCTGTAGCTTGACAAGCATGTGGACTCTTGACAACCATGTATTGCTACAGCATGCCTATATCTTACAAAATTGTTCAGAGATTGACTTATTTGCTTTTAGCAGTCTATACTGGTTTTAATTCTTTGACTTGTCAGTGATTTAGACTTGTAAAAATGCTCTTTTACAGCATGCAATCACTTCTCAGGGGTTGCACTGGCAAGCTGAACTGGTGTAATTGGCGTACACTGCACAGTGTTCATTTGTCTAGGATTTTGTAAGAAAATCAGCATTTAAAAAATACATTGGAAACTTGGCAGCTACAAAGCTGAAGAACCTTTTTGTGTATTTTATAATTACAAATACACAACGTGTGTCACTGATTTTATCTTTACATGTTTGGATGGCTTAACCATGTTTTTTTATTTGTATGGTTTTCATTGGCAAACACGGACTTTGAAGGTACTTCTGTGTTGACTGTGCACCTTTATCCTCATTATGAAATAATATGAAGATAAATATTGATTACAGATAACAAACTTGGGTTGCACATCAAGCTCAGACTGAAATAGAAATACTTAATGTGTATTGTGCTTTCCAAGTCAAGTACTGTCCAGTGTAAATACAGTACTTCCCAGTGCAACCTCTGAACTACTATGCTAAATCTCCTCAGTGATCTTTTACTCCCACCTTTCTCATCATGCTGATTTCTCTCCTCTGTCTGTTCAGCAGTGGGAGACATTTAGCGAACGCTCTTCAAGCTCACAAACTCTGACCCAATTTGATTCTAACATTGCACCAGCTGATCCTGTAAGTCAATCACTTAGCTTGCTTGTTTGAAATTAATTTTATTAACACTGAATTTCCATTGATTGTATTTAGCTGTTATGCATGATTCCATGAACTGCTTTTTTGGGAATGGTGGCAGGCTTCTTTGGGTTGTTTTCACTTATTTTAGGAATACAAGTTTTCTAGTACTGCTCATGTTTAATACCAGAGTGCAAAGAATGCTTTTTCCCTGTATTACACAAAGTGTTTAAATGTAATGGTTTAATATGAAAATGGTTTAAATGAAGATACTTACAAATCTATGCAAGGGCAACTCCCAGCGATAAACCAGTCCTGGTTTAGTTTTTGTCTTAAGTGTTGTTTTGGTTGGAGAGGTTGATTTGTACAAAATCTTAGGTGTTGACAGTGCCAACCTCACTGAAAAAACTACTGGGCTTTAATCAGTGTGGTATTTCATATTCCTAATGTTTTCACGAAGTTACTTTTAATAAGACCTTCAGTATATTTTCAGCTAAACCTGTGCTGTTCTAACGCTTTACTCGGTGAGGAGTGCTCTGAAGAATTATGTAGATAAATAGCTTGTGAAGTTTGGGAGCCAGAAGTTCACTATGGCATTTCCAGTTCTGCTGGTTTTAAACTTCACAGCATGTGACATTGAAGTGCTTCTGAGATGCATTAAAATTACTTCAGTATTTAGCTGCTGCTTTCATCCTGCTTTTCTTACAGGTTTAATTACCGCTGTTAGTACCCCTTTTAATTTAATTACGATGTTGGTGTCCATTTGATTATATAACAAAATTATAGGTGTACATGATATGCATTTAACTGCTTTTAATATTAAAAACATCACTTCTGAAAAGATATAATATGTAAATACACAGTTGGAACTAGATGATCTTAAGGTCTTTTCCAACCCTAACTATTCTATGATTCTGTGATTCTACAGATTTTTAAGTACATCAGTACTCCACTCTCAGAACTAACCCTGATATTTATGTGGAAATAGCATTTCTAGATGCTAGAAACTATAAATGAAACTGCGCTGTTCTCTCTGCTCAGAATTGCCCTTAGTTAACATTCAAACCAGATGAAAATGTCATACTTAACGTGAAAAATAGCCCTTTTCCATCCAAGAGACTTTTTTGGTTTAAATGTGCTATTTTCATGTTTTGGTGAAGTAAACGTGATGGAAACTGGTTTGTAGTTGTTTCTTTCTATGTGTATTGCTTGACAGTAAAGAGCTATCACTGTCTTGTCTCCACAATAAGATAGTAATTTATTTTTACACATAATTAGTAAATAACAGAAATCTGACATTTGATTTTTTCCCATACGTTAATAATCTAAAAAATAGAAAGTGATAATATATGGAAAATTCATATATAACTGTTTGTGTGTATGTGCCTGTATGCATATCCATTTAAATAGAAATTCAGAAAATATACTGGGAGATCACACTCGAGTTATTTTCTTACAATGTTGAGAAAAATTTTGAAGTGGTGAGTGTCTCTTACGCTTGCTAAGGTAATGGACTTTGGGAATAGGTACTTCAGAGTCTTTTCATATGAAAATAAGAACAACTGGCAGCAAATTTTCAGTAGCAGTGTGCAGACCTCTGAATTTAGTGGGCTCAACAGTGATGCATAGGACTGATTTATTGAACAGCTCCTGCTTTCCCAAAGAAGAAAATAAACTTTCTCAAGCAGTTGTTCATAAGTAACTAAAGAGTAAATTCATAGACTATTTCTTCTTTTTGTTGGAAAAGCAGTTGCTTTGGAGGTAAAAGAGAAGTGGAAAGATTAAAACAGTACACTCATCGCCGAGTATGGGAACATAATCTGCCTACTATAAGTGAAAGTTGGTAACATGTTGTTTTGTGTAAAATTTGATTAAAGATCTGAATTAATACATTATATAGCAATCCATTTCACCATGAGACATGATTTTTCTGGTAGCTGCGCATTAGATTACAGGAGAGGGCTGAAGTAGGTACAGCAAGAGTGATTTTTGCATGATAATCCTATTACAGGGGAAAAAAAAATCCAATATATTTTAAAGCTGTAACTATTCCTAAAAGCCTGGCGCAACAGGAGTGTTTGTGCTGTGACTAGAAAGTGGTTTTAAAAGGTCTTATTTGCAGCAAGAATAGTGTAAGTCACTTTAAATAGTTTTAGAAAATATTCATGTAAAGGTATTATGGTTGGTGAAATTGATCAACTTGGGTAGTCAGAACAGGTTAAATTTGTGTAGTTTTCAAAGTTCTTGTCATTTCTAGGGACAGGATATAATCTAGGATTTTTTTTGTGTGCTGTCATTGTACCACCCATTCATACATTCTGAATCATAGATGACAGTAAAAAAACCTCAAACCACTATGTCTGTATTTTTAGATTACTTGAGAACAAATGTAAAAGTTTTAAGTTGTTTCGGTGTTTTTTTTAAGCTGTCTACTTATCTACTCAGTCTCCTAACCAAATGAAAAGGGCTGTCTATAAAGCACACTAAAATGGAGTCAGTTGTCTGAACTACAAAGAAAATACCTCAGTCTAAGGTCAATGCCTATCTAGAGATCTATTTCATAGGGTTTATTATCCTGAAGTTTAGAAGATTCTAAAGATTCCTAAAACAATTTGTCTTAAACTACTACCAAGTACCTATTTTATATAGAATTACTCATACAATTTAAAGAGGCCGTAATTTTGTGAGGCATCATGAGTAAAGCAGAGTGGTGGGATTTTTAAATTGCAAGATGTTGTTGGGTAGTTTTGGGGTTTGGTTGTTTTGGGGTTTTTTTTGTTTGTTTGGTTTGGTTTTTTTGTTCGTTTGTTTTTTGTTTTGTTTTGAAGGTTCACTTCTGGTATGCCAAAAATTGTGGAAAGCTGGTAGATCTCAGCTGTTGTCCTATTTACAATTTGATTATCTACAGCAACATTTCTGGAGCCCTTTTAAAGTAGTATGCTAGGTTACACCTTACATTAGAGAAACTTCAGCTTATAGAGCTTTGGTTTTATGGGTATATTCAAGTCCCTGGAACTGTGTAAAAAATTATATTTATGAAGTTTTGTTTAGACATGACATTTTTCATGGTGTCAGACACTTTTAATAGAGCTGTTTAAAACTAGATTAACATCACTTAACTCTGATCTCCTCTGCAGGACACTGCAATTGTGCACCCAGTTCCTATAAGAATGACTCCAAGCAAAATCCACATGCAGGAAATGGAGCTTAAAAGAACTGGAAGTGGTAACGTATTTTCTCTTGCTAATGAGAAAGGATTTTACAGTTAGAGTTGGCTTTGCTTCCTTAAGCATGCTTTTTTCTTCTCCATGGACTACTATATCTGGACTTAATAACCAGCATAATTAATGAGAGTCTCTGAGTTAAGGGTTGGAGTACTGTTCAGATAGGTGCAGTGTTTGAATTGACCATTTGCAGCAGTAAAGATTTCACCATCTACAGGAGATTAGTGCTTGAAGTAGTTCAGGAGCATCATGATATAGATTGGATATGGGCCTCTGGGAGAAATCTAGGTTTCTTGCTTTCAGAAAGTGGCTGTGAAGCCAGAGAACATAGCCTGCATTGATAAAGCTTGTTCTGCTGTGGTCAGAAACACTGAGTTTATTATTTTGAAACCTGACAGCATTTGGGAGGATTGGCAGGCCTTTTGTATTTGGTAGAGGTTTTTTTGTTTGGGTTGGTTGTTTTTTGTTTGTTTTGGTTTTTAATAATAATAAGGAGGTTTGACAGTTTTTCTTCAAGAACAGTGGGGTCTCAATTTGTAGATGTATGCCATGCCAATATTTCCTAAGGTCATAGAACTCATGCATAATCTTTAGAATACAATAATAAACAACACATTTCTTTCAAAACATCCTTAGCCTTGTAAATGGGTAAAGATTCTAAACTACTGTTAACACTATACAAATAGAAATAGCACTGTTACAATGTAAGACTTCAAAGTTAGAGTAATTCATACACTGATTTTGGCCTTGAGTGCAGCGCTTTAGACAAGGGTCAAAAACCAATGTAAGGCTTTGTCATCAGAAGTAAAAGCTAGTTTGAATATATTAATTTATGTAGACTTATTTTTCAATCTAGATCATGCTAACCCTACTAGCCCCCTACTTGTGAAACCACCTGATCTCCCAGAAGAAAACAAAATGAGTTCATCTGTAAAATTTACACCTGGAAACACAGTTAGTAAGTATCAAAGTATTTTCTGTTCTCATTTTTTAGATTATACAAAATGTAGACCTGATATATTCCTCTGTGAATGAAAACTTGCTAGATAGCAGAAGCTCTAAAGTGAGATAAATTTATCCAAAGAACAGAGACAAAGTATATATTAGAAGTAGTAATTACGAAAGTTCTACTGATGTCACTGGAGATGTTTTCCTGCCGTATGTGTTGAAAAAAGTTTCTTTTTTTTCCCTGCTCTTTTCCATCTTCCTATTTTCTCTTTTAATCTTAGGATAAGAAATTGAAATGTACGGAAGTGGAGTTGACTAAGCATTTGAATCTACCTCAGAACTGTGTAACAGTGTTTTGTGAAGAGTGAAAACCTGTTCACAATTTTCAGGCAATTCACATCTAGTTTAGCTACTAAAGAAATGCAGTAGACTTTTAGATTTTTTTTTTTTTTTTTTTTTTTTTTAGGTACAGCTTTTCAACTGTTTATTTGCTTCTAATAGCCTTTTTGGTTTTCAGTAACTCCTATGTCCAAAACATTTTGCAATCTTTTGATTTGATCAATCCCTTTGTTTAATATTGAGAGAGGTCACATTATATGTAGCCTGAATGAGTCTTTGGGATCTTTTTGAGATTTACTTTCTTTAAACTGATACAAATTTAATAAAGTTGATAAAAAATTTTACTTATTCTTCAGTAAAAATAACATTTGAAGACCTCATTATTTTGAGTCCCTTGCCTTATTAAGACGGTAGTGTTTTGGTTGGTTTGTAATACAGGAGTAATCTAGAAAGTGCCAGGTAAGAATGTGCCTTGCTAAACATCTCTGGGTCGTGGCTGATGTGTCTTAACACTTTTGAAAACCTTAGTGTCCTAGGAGGTTAAAGTAATCTTTTGAGACTGGGTAATAGAGAAAAATCTTGATGTTCTTGATTAGAATTTTCCTCTTTACTGATAACTTATCAGGTAAGTCTCATTGCTCTGGTGACTTTCCACCTTGAATTGTGCTTTACCGGATGCTCTGGAATCATCCCTTGTGATAATTTATTCTCAATTCCATTTTTCTGTCTACATTCATTCCACACAAATGTTGTGACTTTTGGTGAGCTTCCTCATTTATGGAGGAAAAACCTCATGCTTTGCACAGCTTTTAAGGGCAAGGGTGTCCTTAAGGCGTTAAGGAAACTGTATGTGGTGCTCTAATAGCATCTGTCATTTTTAGAGGTTGCCTTAACCAGAAGCTGAAAGTTTTTAAGAAGATGTAGTCCAAAACAGAGCTGACTACTAGCCTTGAAGGTACAGAAGTTGCAGTAGTAGTGAAGCTACTGAATTCATCTCTGTACTGTACATGTATTTTTCCTTTTTCTGCCTTCTGAGGTTGGTGACAATCCTTCAGCGCTTCTAAAATCAAGCATGTCCTACTTCTTGCCTTTTATTTTTACTTGGATGTCTCTTAACTTTTGTTGGCTAGATTGTTGAAGTGATAGAGTGTCAAATGTTTAAAAACCAGTGCTTATGAAACTTACATTTAGTATTTTAAATACAACATTACTGTCATTGTTTATTTTTCAGTACGTCCCAGTAGTAACCAAGAACTCATAGTATTGGATGAGGGGAGTTGGTTTGTATTGAATCCTTCAATTATTCAGATTCCAGGATTTTGAATCTGCTCAAATGATACCTTTCAGGGATAAAATGCATAAGCCTTATTCAAAAATAAAAAGTGTATATTTGAAATTATCTATTACTTCTATCTGTTAGAGTATATTAATGATGCATAAAAAAATATGAAACTTTTTACTTTTCTTTTACCAGCAGATGGTTACAGCAGTTCGGACTCATATACTTCAGATCCAGAGCAAATTGGAAGCACTGTAACGCGGCAACGGTCAGTAGAGTAGCAACTGAAAAAAATAAATAAAAGGTGTTTAAAGAAGCCTGTTCTGAGCTTCTGTTGTTTGACAACGAGCTATTAAAATGAGGGCTCAACAGATTCTGAACTTTAACACTCAGGAATCTGGAGGCAGTCTGTTTTCTAATGCATTAACAATACATGCTGTTCCTGTTCATGTGTAAAGTAAAAGTGAAAAAAATAGTCTAAAAAGTTGTTTGGGATTGGCCTATCAAATGAAACTCCACGTTCAGTCAGAAATCTTGATAAAAACTCCCATTAAACACAAGGGAATGTAAGCACAGGAGACCATGATGTTACTTCAAACCAATTTTTTGTGTTTTTAAAACTACGTTAGGCATTAATGGAGAAGGACCTTGTGACTTTGTAGCATAAAAGAAGAATAAAACATAAATTAGAAATATCACAGCGGTAACTGAATCTCTTTTAATAATGGACTTCTATTAAATGGAGGGCAGTCACAGCCCAACATAAATTAAGAGATTGGAGGAAGCTATGCAAGCACATAACCAACAACTGTATCATTTGACATGAGAGAATGTGCTGTACTAGCTGGTGCTAATTGTTCCCATTAAATCTGCCTGAATAGGATTAAAAAGCAGCTGCACCATTAACTATCTTACAATCAGTTTCAGAGGTAAGTTTCAAAACAAAAATAATTAGGGTGACTTCAATAGCAAAGAAAGATTTGCAGTTGCCTGTCAGCACAGCAACTTGAAAGCTTCTTTCCTCCATTTTATTTAATGGCAAATTTGATTCTGTCCTGCTTCTATGCATGTTCTTGCACTATCAACATGATGCTTTCAACATGTTCTTTTCATCTGTAATTTTTTGGGTTGGGTTCTCTTGCCGAACATAATTGCTGCTTAATGCCACAGGCAGCTTCTGTCCAGATCAGGCAGTTCTGGCAGTGTTCACCCAGGAAATTTTTCTCCCACTTCCTCTTTTACTTCCTACCCCTAATATCTACCAGTTGCAGCTTTATCTATAGAGGTTACATTGTCCTTAACCGTACTATTAGGCCAGAGAACTCTTTTGTATTTTCAAAAAGCAAAAACTGACTAGGCTATGTCAGATAATGATGCTTCAGGAGTGTCCTTAAACCATTTTCTCCCTCCTTTAATCCTACTTGTGCCTTTTATATTAGACTAGCTAGTGGGATGACCCTAGGACTCAGTGTAATTAGATTTTCATTCCATCAGCTGGATATATATACATTTCATGAGTGTGAAATGTAGAAGAATTGTCCTGGAGAGAATGTTAACAGTGTAAATTTTTCTGCTGTGGTAACTCATTTTTCTCTCTGGACCTATACATTTATGAATTTCAAGTTTTATGTGGAACTTTTGGTACCTCTTACCTTTCCTAGTTTTATGTCTTATGATAGTTTCAGAAGAACAATACAGAACTCAGTCACAGAAAAGAATTTATTGCTTATTTGAGTGGAATAAAAGAGTAGTTGTATTCATGTCAGTGATTCAGTAAATCTGTCTTGCTCATGTTTGACTAGTTAGGAAGCTTCTGCAGACTGCTTTAAATGGAAGGCATATACAGTAAATCCCACTCAAAGGCACTTAGGCACTACTTTATCCTTCTATCCTTTTTGCATGTATGCTCGCTGAATTTACAACAGGTATCCACTAGATGGTGATCCTACCTAAGAATGAGTAGCAATGCTGCTACTAAGTATATGGATTTGGGAAAATTTCAGGCAGAGAATTAAAAAGCTATCTGAGATACTCGATAAGCTCAATCAATATACATCGAGGCAGGTCCAACAGAAATTTCATAGTCTTCAGTGACGTTAGACTTAACCTGTTTAAAACCTAATCAGGATGTTGACTACATTTTCCATATTTTGCAAATTATAGTGACTACCATCTGGTTGGAATTGCCATATTTAGGATTCTCTGTTCCCGAACTGTTATTGTTTAGGATGCGTGCCAAGCTCTTGGTTTCCAAAAGATAAATTACTTGTGGTAATGTAAGAATAATTTGGATAACAAGATTTAAGTAAACGGAAATATAAAAACTATTGTGAAATCAGTCAATACCAGATTTAAAACTGCAAAATCAGTGGCAGTCAGGCTCTTTTCCATCTGTCAAACTTTATTTTTTAGTTGCATGCTTTGAAGAACTCTTGAATTTTAGTTCTGTTGTAGCTGCCTAAAATCACGACAGAAGCTTTTGTTTTGCAGGTCACATTCAGGAACATCTCCAGATAGCACTGCACCACCGCCACCCCCTCCAAGGCCTCATCCTTCTCATTCTCGATCATCTTCTTTAGATTTGAACAGATCATTTTCAGTTACCCCAGGTAGATATACCATGTTCCTCTTGTGTGTTATTTTCCAGCACACATATTCCTGAAGCATATGGGGTTGTTTTTCTCTGAAGAAAGATTGTGTCTTTTGAAATCACTGCTTCTGAATGAAAAAACTGAAAATGTTGTTACTCCTTCTGTTTGTATAAAAATTTGTGATCCACTTTGCTTCAACAGATAATTTAGAAGTAAATTCTGAATGCTGACATTGTAGTCCTTTGGGTGAATGTGCGGAGCAAAGTCAGACAATAATATTTTGGTGGTGCACCCACATGCAATGAATTGCATCTGCCAGTAAATTTTCAAGAGAAGTTCTTTTGGTATCAGGTGTATCAGAGAGGGGTGTTAAGTATTTCGCTTCAGAGGAAATGATTAATGGTCACTTCTGATTCTGCATGAGGGTTTTTTATTGTGCTTCTGACTTGTCAGTACTTTTCAATTCAGGATCACAAAGTATTAGAAGATGTTAGGAGTGTGTATAATGAGGGTAAAGCAAAAAAAAAACAAACAAAAGGACTAAGATCAGTGAAGTATGACCATGTCTGTACTTTGAGCTGGAACAGAGGACAAGATCCATGTTCTGATTCCTTGTTTTGTCTGTTGCATATTTGAAAGGAGATGACATCACAATTATTGTTAATATGACAGGTTAATATGTAGGCAAAATGCAGAATTTCTTCATGTTGACAAGTCAAAAAAATCAGGTAGCACTGTAGCAATGAAGAGTAACAATCTTGGCCAAATGTGATGCCTCTTTTACAGGACAGCAACAGGCTGGAGTTGTTGCCTATCCCCCTGCAGTGCCTCCAAGACCACAGCCTTCACAGGTGATGATGTGACTTTTGAAAAATTGTACTGTTAACTCGGTGCATGATTTTTATCTAACTCTGAATTTTAACTTACCTCTAAAATGAGTAGCATTGCATGGTATTTTTGAAACCAAGATGTGAATGATGGCAAAACCTAGACTAGCCAAATGCTAGCCTCTCCTCAATAAAGAATTGCTTCTGGTGGAACCATCAAAAGGGATTAAATTAGAAATTGAGAAGGAATGAGTGGCTCTGGAGCTGTGAGTTGTAGGAAAGAGGGGAAAGTTAGTCTTTCACATTTCTTTTACCTGTTCGTGTTTAGCTAATAGGCCTTAACACAGACTGAGAGCAATCTTTAAAAGTTTTGCAAAATAAGTGTTTGTCTTCCATGGGTCTGGCATAGGATATAGTTTTTTTGCATAACAGGGCTGCTCCCAAAAGGAGATATCCCACTTCTTTCTTTGTCAGAGAGTTGGTGGTCTTTGTAGTCCTTCAGTTGGCTGGTGTAGTAGAGAACAAATCCTGCAAAAGTTTTTTTTCTTTGTCTCAACCAGCTGAATCCTTCAGCTGCTCTGCAGATCTGACAGGGGACAGATAAAATCATTTTTCAGTTATTTTGCAGCAGCTGCTACTTCCTAAAACCCGAGTTACCATCAACTGAAGACAATCAATGGTCTTCACTTCCTTGTCTCATTAAGTATTTCCCTGTTTTTGTAAACACAGAGTGGTCTGTCTGTGTCTTGGATGAGATGTAATTTGTCCTACTGACAATGTCACTAAATGCTTTTGTCTTATTGCAGGGTGCAGGTCCTCATGTGCATCGCCCAGTGGATGCTGAAGGCCTAATAGCTCATACCAGTACCTCACCTCAACAAATACCAGAACAGCCAAATTTTGCAGACTTCAGCCAGTTTGAGGCATTTGCTGTTTCAGGTGTAAACAAAGAGGAGGATGATGAAATTGAAACACACTCAGAAGTCTTGCAGGTGAGCAGAAGTGAAGATCTTGTCAATTGCTTAATTCCACCAGCAGTTACAAGAATTTGTTAAAACCTACTTCTGCTGTTTGAACTCAGTGGTTTAGGGGTTTTAATGGTGTCCCAATCCATTGCTAGAAAGCAATTATGTTACACACTGCTACACTTACTTAGTAATTGCCACATACCTAGACAGAAGTTCTTTTCTTTCAGTTCTTAATTGTAATTCAAGAGATTTTGTACTTACTAGCATATATGTGCACAAACATTATTGTGTTAGTGCATTTAAGATTTAGCAGAGGCAAAACTTTTCTTCTGCTCATTCTTGTCAGCCTTACAAATGGCATACTTCTAAGTCTTAAACTAATCTGTCTTAATAAATGAGGTGACAGTCAGCTATTGTTAGTGTCTGCTAAAATTCTGTTAATTTGGTTTTGTTCAAAGCCATTGGGCAGACAGCTAAACTGAATAGAGCTCTAGCATCCCTCCATAGTAGGTCATCAGAGATGTTTACAAAACCTTGTTTCCTACTACAGAAACAGGACTTAAAAGTTTGGAAGCCTTGGGGTTTATTCATATTAATGTCATAATAGCTAATTACTATTACACGAGTTACTTTGTGTTTTCCTTTCATAATTTGTAACCTTCATTGAGATTGTAAGTTCTCTGGGGCACTTTGGCATCTTCAGTTGCAAAAGTACCTGTGGTGCTTTAAAGTCCTCCTAACTATCAGCAACATGTTCTTCCTTCCCTTAACCAGGAAGGTCAATGATGTAGAACCACTTGAGGGCTCTCCATGTACCTCATTGCAAAATCAGATGCATTAGCTTAAGCTGCCACTGAAGACTTCTGAAGTTAAGCTTTGCTGATTGTTTTGCACTGGGGGGAATGGGGAACAGTGGCATTGTGTTCCACTGGAGGGATTAACCTTTGGCAGTAACAGGTAGATAATGGTGGCAATGTAGTAGCAGAAACAGCTGTAGCAATTTATCATCAGGCCACAGCCTTTTTTGTACTATACAGTGCCTCATAACATTGGGGATTTGGCTTTATTCAGAGTAAAATGCTTGAGAGCAGAGAACTTTCAGATAACCATTTTGTCTCTTTCGTGGCAATTTTATATTCTGTATTGAATCTAACATTCTGTATCAGAAGACAGGTCTGACTATTGATTCTGGAAGTACAGCATTTTACTTGTGCCTGTTCTGTAAGCTGCTTTCAGGCCAAAACAGTGATTGTGACCAAGATAGTTTTAGGTGGTTTTGCTCCAAAGCATGTATTGTTGTTGTATTCCAGCTTGTCCTTCTAAAGAAGACTTGAATTTTAGGTGCTTTGTTGAAAAATTTGTTGAGAAGTAGTTTTCTAAATGTAGTATATATCTCTCTAGGTTGAAAAGCCCTCTGATTCTGCAAGTTCTCTTAGAGTTGCCAAAGCAGATGGAAGAGTTGAAGACAAAGCACCTGCTAGTGTCCCCACTAGTGCGGTATGCAAAATACACTTGGAAGGAGAGTGCAGTTGTCGGATGTATATGGAATTATATGTCTGTTTATATTTGTGACAGTACCTCTGTATGCTTCCGCTCGAACCCAGTTTTCTTAGGTCCCATATGTGCTTGAAATAGGCATGTGTGTGACGAATTTTTGCATCAGAAGATGTTCATGATTAGCTTTATTCTCAAGATAGCAGAAAATGAAGATCCTTAAGTGTTAAATTTTTGAAACAGCAAAACTTTTAGTGCAGAAATTGGTTAACAGTAGCTTTTTTTTTTTTTTTTTTTTGTGTTACCTAATTACTGGGGAGGGAGCCTATTCTGAGATGATGTGTATTTACAATTGACTGCTTGCACAGTTCTTTGGTGCTTAGTAACTTGCTGCCCTTTCACCAGGGTTAGGATTTAGTACTTAAATTTTTTCAAACCATATGAGAATGCAGCTAGATGTCCATCAGGAAACATCAGATGGGTTGTAAATTCAGTTAGCTCAGTAACTGGTTTTAAAAATACGTAACATAAACAAGTTACTGGGTTCTAATCTAAGTCAAGTATAGCTTGTGAGAATTGATAGGCTGTGTTTCTTTCTTCAGGGTAAAGGCACTACCCCACTTGCTCCACCACCAAAGCCTATTCGCAGAAGATTAAAATCAGAGGACGAGCTAAGACCTGAAGCTGAGGAACATACACAGAAAACAGGTGTCATAGCTGCTGTTCTTGCTTCACAGCCATCTATTCCTAGGTAACCCAAGAAGTGTATAAATACATCTGTTACTGGAAACTTTACAATTAAACAGCATACACGCTTTCTGTTCCAGGAGCTGCAAACAAGTTCAGTGTGTTCGAATTAGATTAACAGTCTAAAAGTTTTTGGCTTTTAAACAAGATCATCCCAAAGCCTCTATTACTGGGAGACATTTTAGCAATCTTGAATTTTGGAGTGTGAACTTTTTAACTTCTGCAAGTATGTTGAAAATAAGTGGTGGACATGTTAAGATGTAGTGTTGAATTTCAAATAATGGTTGCCATGAATAGTCCAAAATGTGCAGTCTTTGTGTCCTAGCTTGAAAGTGGGACTATTGCATTAGTCACTTTGAGGTAAATGAATGCTGTACGGTGTGTTGGGAAAATTTATTATGACAAGTTTTTTAAACGTGCTGCTTGCTCTTTCATTGAAACCAAATATGTGTTGTTTCCATGCAAAGGAACAATAAGCCAGGCAGAAGAGGGAAAATAACAGTGTAACAAATTTAAAAGAGGCATTTGCTCATTTAGAAAAAGAGAGATGATAAATTGGATGTTCAGCTAAGCAACGAAATGACTTATTACAATACTTCTAATATATTCTCAGGTCAGTGGGGAAAGACAAGAAGGCAATTCAGGCATCAATCAGACGTAACAAGGAAACCAACACTGTTTTGGCCAGATTGAATAGTGAACTACAGCAGCAACTAAAGGTAATTCCATAATCTTTGTCTCTTTAAGAGAAGAACCTGAGAAGGCAATATGTTAGTAATAATGGGCATCTCTGCAAACCAATGATATACATAGTAGAGGATATCACTATGGAAAATTTAATTGATTTTGTAGATCGTGGAATATACTGAATTGTGAGAAGCTTTGTGAAATTACAAAGGACGCTTTTACTACTACAAAACACAGTTTTCAATGTACTCATCTGCTTTCAGCTACACTAAAAATAAAAAAGCAGAAATGTTAACTTAGTATTAATAATTCAAGGTAGCTGTTGTGGTCATCAGATACTTTAAAAGCAGTATTGAGAAGAGCAGCTTTCCTTCCTTTGCTTCTGAAGGAAAAAGCAAACCTTGAAGTCTTAGTTATTTTTAAACAAATATAATAATCTGGAATACAAAACTTGCAGCTTAAGAACAACAAGTCATCTGTTTAGGTCAGCTATTACAATTTTGGGTTTATCTGTAGGCACCATCTTAACATCCTTCTCTTGCTATTTTAAGATCCACTATCAATTATGAAATCAAAACCTTAAATGTAAACTGTCTAGTCTGGAAGATAAGACATTTTAAAAATTATCTAGCCTGAATTTCACTTTTTATGAGAGTCGAAGTATGTAAGATATACATAAGAGGAAATACTGAGGGAAATGGCAATTTTCCAGTCCTTTAACTGAGATGAGAGCTTACCCCTTAATATTTTAGGCTTTATTTGAAAATACTATACTTGGTTTTGCCGCTGGTTACAACTTTGTGGGTTGGGTTGTTTGAAAGAAATGAAAGAATACTAAATGGCTTCTCCTTTTGAGCAAAGTATTCACTTTCATTTATGAGCAAGTAGTAGCTAGCCAATCTCCTGTTCAGATTATGGGAGGAGTTCTCCAGATTCTAGAAAATGTTAGCTCTCAGAACTGAAACTGACATTCACCAGTTTTGTTTGTATGAGGAAATTTTTGAATGTTCATTCACTGTGGACAGTCAGTAGAAAATGTTTCTTTTGTAGGATGTTCTTGAAGAGAGAATCTCCCTGGAAGTCCAACTGGAACAACTTCGACCCTTCTCTCACCTCTAAGCCTACTGCCGTTAACTGTGAATTTACTAATTTTGAAAGGGGTATTGGTTTCAAAGCCTATTTAAAGATCCATGCATCTAGCTCAGTGCACTCTATTCTACATTAAATGTTGTGGTTCTGTTTTGCCAATTTGTCCACTTTTGTATTTAAGTATTTTAATTTCAGTACAGAGAGAAAAAAACTTCTTCCTTGAATGTGACACTGCCTCTCACATCATTTTCTGTGGGTATCCGTGGTCTCTGTTGGGCTTGAGTTTGCAGAGTTTGTCGCCAAAATTTCCAACTGGAATTTAGTGGTTTCTTTTTTCCTGTTGAAACATCTTTGCAGAAGAGGATTGCTAATCAGTTGACTTTAAGCACATAAAGTCTTCTTTCACTATGGCATTGATCTTACTGTGCCAGAAAAGAGAGAAATTAATCTCTCATTGGCCAATGTTACTTCCCAAGCCACCTTTCACAATTGGAAAGTTGTTAACAATTCTAGAAAGCCTGCCTCTTTGCAATAAAGCAGCTTATTCAGGTTGAGAGGGTTCTTGCAGGCTGTTTGCCATATCATCTGGATTTGATTTTGTTTTGTTGCATACATTATAGAGTATGTAACCACAGATTGCCAGGTGTTCACATTTTATCCATTCATGATCCTGATTCAGCTGCATGCATATGAAGATTTATGGTACAATTGGTAATCTGTCAAACAGACGTTTTTCAGCCCTCCCTTTTGTGAAAAGAGTTGGGTGTAAATCCCCAACGTATTAATTACACATTGCCTAAGCACCACCTGTAATTGCATGTTTCACACGTTACCTTTTAATAACAGATCACATCCACCAGTCTTCACTATAACAAATTGTACTGTCAAGTAATGTGTCAATACCTCTATGAACTTCTAATTCCCAGCAAAAAATAAATAAACGAATAAAACAAAAAATGAACAGTTTGCTTCTTAGGAATTCTGGGGTACCTTCTGTCATCTTGTTTCCAGGCCTTATTTCTCTGGCGTATAGACAGGCTTCACTATTAACAGAGTTCCCCGAGTGTATCCTGCTCTTCAGGTTGATGTACTGTATTAGGATTTGTTGTATATTGTACGATACACACCTTTTGATCGCATATGTAAATTTGCATTAATTGCTGACTAACAGCAGATATTCTATTTAATGGCTTCTTCTGGCTGTGGGATCATAGATGTTTAACTGCATGGATGTATCTCTGCAGAATCAGAACTAGCAGTTGTGTGATTTTTACACCAATAAAACAGCACAATATTTTAATTTTGTTGATTCATCTTTACCTGGGAATTGAAACTCATTCAAATATGGGGGAGGGTTTTCTTGCAGGTCTAAAGGGAATTTTTTGTAGTTTTATGGCCTGTACAGGAAACAGTTGATCCATAATCCCTTGACCATTTTCTTCCCTCATTTTTTAGCTGTTGATTAGAAGTGATCGAATTCTCTTGGTAATCTGTGGCTATACTCCTTTTGTATCCTCGTATGAGCAAATTTAATACGGTTGTTACTTCTGAAAACTAAATGCTACTATTGACTTGGGTAAAAAAAATACATAGTTCCTTAGTTTTCATTTCTGGTTTCATTTCCTTGAGAGTACCCTTCAGAATTAAAACAAAATGATCACCTGTTAGCAGTCCTTATCCTCACTGTCTCACTTCTGTGTTTAAATGAAATTCTCTTAACATCTGCTTCCCTTCCAAAAGGATAGCTCACGTTAGATTTTTCTGCTGGATATGCTGTTTGTTACAGTGAAAAAGAAGTATTTGTCTTTATTGTTACAATTTACAGACTAGATAATTATGCTTATTTTTATTACTATAACTATTCCAACATTTTTTCAAACCTTATGTACATTTTGCAGATAGCTTATGTATGTAGTCCAAAGCAAGATTCCCTGGAATGAGAGGCGCAGATGTCATAGCTGCATGAAAGATGGTACTTTCTATTTGCATGTAAAGGGATTAAGAAATGGTAGCTAAATATGCATAAGGGTTACATATAAATTACATTCCAACTATGTCTTTCAAGTAGTAGATAATGTGCAAGGCTTTGACTTGAAAAAAAAAAAAGAGATATATGTACACACATACATATAAAACTAGGGAAAAGCAAAAAAAACCCAAACCACAAAAAAACCCAGACACAAACTAAAACAAAACTAAAAAACCTTGAAGTTGATGGACTAATGGTTTCTATTATAACTACCAAGTAGCAAGAACAGCGTTTAAGAAAGTGGGAAAGTGTGGGTCACTTACCGAAATTAGACTTGATTTCAAACCAATTGTATCTTGTCCATAATTTATTTTAAAGTCAAAAATACATCTTTTAAATAGTACTATTTTCATATTAATATTTAAGTATTAAGCCTATATCTGTAGCAGCAGGATTCTTAAATCAGAACTTAACATTTTAAATGTAAATGTAAAAAGCCTTTTACAGTCAAATAGGACATGTACATACGAATTTCTGTAACATCCATATCTTTCTGGTGGAATGACACATTAGTGTCTCAAATGAAAAACTTGAGCAATCTGAGTACTTTTGTGTCTTGCTACCAAGTTTGTTCTTAAGAATTTTGTGGATTACTTTTAATGCATCATTCAGTACATTTTAAACCAGTTTTTCTTGATCAGAAGAGCTTCTAACTGAAAAGTTATGTCTTAAGAACATCACTGCCAACGATGTTCAGAAGTTACCTCAGTAATGTAATCAAACTTTAATCCCTTATAAAATGATTTTCCAATCTTCTGTGTTTGATCTTGATCCAGCTACTTGATGCATTCTTTTTAATGAACTTAGATTGTAAGCTCTTTGGAGCAAGGAGTTACGTACCGTGCCAGAGATGTGCTCTCTACATCGCAAGTATAAACGTAGACTACTGAATAGTACGGAGTGTGATTAATGTACCCAGTTGGGACGGACGGACAGATGGATGGACAGCAGCATGCATTTCTGAAACGCCTGCAAAATGTTTTTCTTTGGACTCTGTGATTGGAGGAGTGTCTGTTTTCTCTTTGATTTGTGTTTCCTTTGTTTCTTCTACTAACGTGCCTCTTTCTTCATTCCACCTACTTTGGAGTTGCTTTTTTTCTCCATTCATTGCCTATCTTTGGACAGCAGAACAGATTTCCAAAATGCAAAGGTAAAAAGCTGAAAAGCCAAATTTTTTTAGCAGTATTTCAACTCTTCCCAATGTAAGCAACGTTTTCAGTTTTTTTGTATTTCACACGCCCCTCATTTTACTTGCAATTGTACAGTACATGAATGAGAGAATCTCTTATTACTGAAAATGTCTTATGTGGGATAAACAAAGTTGAGGTTATAAAAACTTAAAACTAAAGAAAATAAATTTGCAGCATTGTTTCTTGTGTGAGATGTCTCTGTCCCTTACGGATGGGCTGTGCTTTGTTTCTGCTCTGCGTTTAGGGCAAAGGTAAGTTAACTCTTCCGGGTTCAGCTATGCACAGAGTTTGTCTCTAAATGCAACTTTACAGATGACCTAATCTGAATCACTTTTTCCTAAAAGGAAAAGACAAAAAAATAAACCCCACTGTTTCCTGACTCATTCTAGTCTTAGTTTCTAGCAGAACGTAATTTCATGGAACGATAATGTGTTACAACAGAAACATCTTACTCCCAAGTGAGTAATAACCATACAATTCTTAAACAAGTTATTTTTCAGTCTTCCACAGAGTATTTCAAACATATTTGTATTATGTTGCTTAAATATTTTATAAAGGAATCCATGTGCAGTTGAGCATTTATACTCCCCAAAATTCCATTTTCTGGACAACTTAATTTCATAAGCAGAATTCTACCCTGTTTTGTCATGCACATTGCTGTACTAATCATTTATAATACAGCTCTCTAGCATTAAAGCACATGAAAACCAAGGACTTCATTCTCTAATAGCAAAAAACCCCACCTATTTTAAATGTTGTGTTCTCTTAATAGTCTTTGAAAACAACTAACTTGAGGCTGTATAGAAACAAAGTTATAAATGCCTATATACTAATAATCAACTGAGATTGTATACAGAGTTGTCCCAATAAAAGGTACTCATCAGAGCAGTTTTATTTTTATTTCCCCTCACAGGAGTCAGAATTAGTTGCTTTTCAAAATTCAATTACATGTTTAGGGGGAGGGTCGAATACTGCGTAATTTCCTTTCAAGTTTTTTTTGTTTTGTTTTGTTTTTTTTAATTAACAAAATGGGTTTTAAAGATGCAACTACTGCTTTAAAGCCAGATTGTATGCTAGTTGTACCTGGTTGTACAGTTAGTACTTGATTGTATGTTAGTGTATTCCAAAATGATTTTTACAGTACTTTTTTCTGGCTTACTGATACACAGGTATTCAGTGTCTTGCATTTAAATTATTGTCAGAAACAGGCCTTGTTTCATTATAATACTCAGATTCAGAATTGTAACTACAAAGTTCTAAGTTTGTGATCTCACAGCTTATACCAAAGTTTTAAGATGACTATTAGTGTGATCTGTCACATGTTGGCAACATACTGTAGCATTGAAAGCTAGATAAATTCTCTTCCACCTCTGGTATAGTATGTTCTTGTCACTTCCACTCTTACAGATATGAAAACTGCATCTAATCTTGAAGGAGTTGAAATTCCTCTGTCATTTTGACTGGTCTTGATTATGAGCAATCTAAGAAATGAACATCAGAAATAATGAAAGTAATTTAAACTGACATTCGGTGGTATATTGAAGAAAAACATTCTAGTAATACTGCTGTTGAACCCTACATATGTGTTTCCCTGCCTCCTTTCTACAGATAAATCCTACTCTACAACACATGTAAACTCTTTGATACACCCCATATAGCAGCAACAGTGGCTTTTGCTTTCTGCCATCTAACTTCAGAGGTCCAACTGTATTTCTCTCTTCGGCTTAAATAAGACTGCATTTAAACTGACAGGGCATGGTCCATGGGGTGAAACAAGTTAACTTGAACCAGTTTGCTTGTGAATCAGTGTCTTCTGCAAGGAGCCTGTTGTCTTTAGTATCCATTCAAAAGGCAAATAAGACAGACTAGCACTTGAAAGAACAGCTACATACCGAGAAAGGAGTCAATGTCCCCTTGACATTCAGATGGGGGAGCAGGGAGTGGAATAAGCATTACAACAGTTGCCATAAACTGAAAACACGAGAGTGTGTGTGAGTAGTTGTGAAGGGCTTTTGAGGGTCTAGCACGCATGATTGGCTGTGTCAGACTTAGCAGAAAGGTATGTATAGTAAGTTCTTCAGCAATGTATGATTTCTCATCAGAAGTCAAAAGAAATGCTTTGGGAACATCCGTGGTGTCTTAGGAGGGTGTTTCATTCAACTGCTGTGGAATTCAGCGCACTGTACAAATGCTGTTGTACCTTATTTTGCAGATCTTGAACTGATACAAAGCTTGAGTTCAATTGTAGTATGAAAATACAGTATGTATTTCAAGAAAAATATTATGGAAGGAATTTATAGGAAGTTGTAATTCAGTGTATTCTATCAGGAAATACAGAAGTGACGTGCCTCCAACTTCTTATGTTATGAATCCCTGCCTTTGGAAGACAAGTGCTGCAATTTACAACAAACCCTTCTCCGAGAGCTTCAATCCTATTGTCTGTCACTGCCTTCATGGAGGAACTTAGTCACCTGCTTTCTGATCAGAAGGCACTGAGAGGTCATAGAGGAATAATATGTCCTTTTGCTGTGGAAAGGTTCTTAAAAGGAATACATTCCTTGGTTTGCTCTGAGCTTTGGGGATAAAGTAGTTGAAGCAAGAAGATTCCTGTGGAAAAGCAGTATTAATTCAAATGTCATTTTATCAAAATTGGGAGGCTGGTCATTCTGGTAGATTTAATGTTTTCTCCCAAGTTGTTTCCATAAGTGGACTCA